CGTTTCGGGTGAAGACGGAGCCTACATCATCATAGCTGGGATTCATTCTTGCTAAAGTCTCAAACTAACATCAGTTCAAGGGTGGGCCAAATTAGCCACAAACTAAGTGGCTTCATTAAGAGGAAACGACCAGTTAATGATGAATGAGATGAATGAATGTTTCGTGTAAGGTGATAAGGTGACTGGTAAATGAATTTTCACACAATCATGTGAGTCGATCTTATGTATCCGTTGAATCTCGCATAGCCTTGCTATCACAAAACGTATTCCCACCGTGAAAGTAGTGGGCTGCAGTTTCGACCTCGCCTCAACTGGTCGGATAGACACCCTCAGTGGGGCTCGAACCATGGGACTGCTGTCTACAATCTCGGCACGTTAACCACTACGCCACATGGCCACACGTGTCCTTGGGCCACAGGGCATAGCAAATTACATATTCATATAATTATATGAATTTTGTTTATGCCATTATGATTATAGTGATACGAATGACATACTGCTCTGGTGATGTACGTCACATGACGCATGAAAACTTGGCAGGTTTTCTTCGTATTCGAAGGAGATTGCTTTGAGGAAGACGTCGGCAAGAATGTTCCAGTAAAGCCGAACGGGAGCTGGCCAAAAGTTCACGGTCGTCTTCAGGTGGGATCGACCTTCGAAGCCCTTCATGACATGATTTATCCTTAAATTGAAGTAAAATCAACAATAAATTTGTTGGTATTTATTTGTTTAAATGATGCATCCTGCATGTTATGATGTCTTGTAACATGAGTGTACACTGCGAATGACAAATTGGTTGATAGAAATTCGTAAAATAGCTTCAACGGAAACCGAAGGAGGATTGCTGTGCAGGGCAGATTGTTGCATTGTGCGAAGAAGTCCGCAGCTGACCATCCTGTGACCCCGATGAGCACATGTTAAGCAATCGAATAAATTTTTTATTTTTCGTTTTATAAGTAATTAGACTTTTTGGGAATAAAATCGCTCATTCCATTCAGGACGTTGGCCGGTTTGTCAAGTTCTACAGTTTCCTTAATCTTGCGCTTTCATTTTAAATCCCGTAACCAGCAAAACGTTGTAACGTCGACGAGTTTAGCTAAGGTCCCGTTTTAGGGTTCACAAACCTCTGCAAGCGGTTTTGTGTTCGCGCAGTCTCTTCTGGATGGGTCGGCAGGTCTAACCCACATAGGCCTTAGCACATGGGCACAAAACCTTGTAGCAGCCTGATAGAGAAGTTGGGTGATCCACAGACGAAGTGGAACATCGTAACAATGCACAAAGAGAAATTAACACTTTTTTGAGCAGTTCCTTGGTCTAAAGAATTTTCGGATCCTCTTTCTGGATCAGGCTTCCACAATCTTTTGTGCTCACGCGGTATTGTCTTTGTGGGGAGAGACCTGCCGGCCCATCCAGAAGAGACTATGCAAACACAAAACCGCTTGTAAGTGGGTATGGCTAGAAGAAGCTGAACTCGCTGGACACACGATTGGTACCAAATATTCAAGAGACTCATCGAAAACACAACATTTTGCTGGTTACAAGGACTTGATATTAAAGCGTAAGATTTGGGAGTTTACAGAAATTAACAAATTGTGAGGAAGGAGTACAGAAAAGGGATCATGAATTATTTGTGGCTGTTGGATAGGCTTAGAGAGAGGGCGAGAGAGGGAGGACAGGAGAACAAGAGGAGGCCAAATTAACCTCAAGTCTAGCTACTGCCATCACACTTTTCATGACATGAGCAAAACATGCGAACAAAATAGACAATAGCACAAGCCCAAACATGATTCAACATTGGAAGATTGTATTTTTCTAATTAACTATTGCTTTCGTGACTACCTTCTTCATCACCTTAAACGAAATTGGGTGAATACATCTCATATTATTGGAAAATTGTAGACTTGTTTGTTTGTTTGTTT